GCTCTAACCACTAGCCCCACTCCCCTCCCCAGCCCCTAGGGACAGAACCCAAGACTCCTGGCCCACAGACCCCTCTAACCACTAGACCCCACTCCCCTCCCAGAGCCGGGGAGAGAACCCAGGAGTCCTGGCTCCCAGCCCCCCTGCTCTAACCATCAGACCCCACTCCCCTCCGAGAGTCAGGAAAAGAACCCAGGAGTCCTGGCTCCCAGCCCCCCTGCTCTAACCACTAGACCCCACTCTCCTCCCAGAGCTGGGATAGAACCAAGGCGTCCGGGCTCCCAGCCTCCCCTCCACCCAACTCTCACCCTTAGTCCAGGGCCCGATCCATCAGACGCAGGGATTGGACGAACATTGGAGGTATGCAAATTGTGTGCAAATCAGCCACAGCTCTGCCCTCCCCCCCAAAAGCACAGGCCTGCCCTGGATGGTGGGAGCCAGTCCCCGCCCCTCCGTTCCCAGCTCCCCCCAGCAGGAGGGCACGGACCTCGTGGCGTAGGCCGGCTTCACTTCGTGGGGGCTGCGTCGGTTTGACCAGAGAAGCAGCAGCAGGTCAAAGAGGGGCTCGATATGGACCACCACGGGACACCCTCGGGGTAGATCTGCGGGATTGGCTGGGATTTGCGTTCGTTTGATTTGCTTCTGGTTTCTTTACTCGAGTCAAGTTTCTAAACTTTTCTCTGTCACCCCCAGAGCTGGACAATTTTTATTTGCGTTTGATTGTAATGAAAACTTGAACTAAGCTCACGAATCTGGAGCTGGGGACTTTAAAAAGAGAGGAGACGTCCAGGCAGCACCGTAAAATCTCCGGAGCCGGAGACACTGCCAGCAACCAGGCCTGCGGACTCGTCTCCGGCGTGCAAAGGCTGCAGGACACGAGGCTGTGAAAGGGGCAGCGGAGGCGGGATAGGGCGGCGGCTCGCTCAGCGAGGGACAGCCCGGAACTTGTAGGGGCGTGGCACATTCCCCAGGCCGCTCATCAGGGGCGAGATGTCGATGTCCTCCGGGCGGACGAGGGGTGTGAGGACGAAGCGCTGCAGGATGGTGGTGAACAAGAGGAAGAGCTCCATGCGGGCCAAGCCCTCGCCCAGGCACACCCGCTTCCCTGGGGGAAAGGAACACAGGAACGGGACGGGCGCGGGGGTCAGAGGCGTTTCAAGATCCATCGTGCCCCACGTCTCGGTTACCCTCTCCCTGCACTTGGGGATCAGGCGCCTTTAAGACCCTTTCATGTTCCCTGTATTCTGGGGACCGGCCCCCAGTGTCAGTTACAGCAGCCTTGGGGCTGCTCTACCTCATGCTCCATCCCCTTTATGGGCCCTGTGGGGGCAGAGAATTGTCACAGCGCAGTGCGCTCCGGCCACGACCCCAGTCCACCCCTACGGGTCCCAGGGGGCACAGAATAGCCCCAGCAACATGGGCAGTGGGATCATAGGCTGGGGGAGGCTGTGCCTCTCCAAACAGCCTGGCATGGCCCCACCCTCGCTCCGCGCCCAGGAGGCCCCCTCCGGCCGTTCCGGTGCTCTGCCGTGGCTCAGTGGCCGGGCCTGAGGCCGGGACTGGCCAGCCTACCACTGGGGAGGCCCTGGACTCTCAGGGGGTCATTTCTGCCTCACAGCGACACAGAGGGGCCTGATCCCTCCTCGCAGTGACCCCCAGACCGTGGAGCCAGGCTGCGCTACTCCATCTGAGGTCAGGGCTGGACTACACGCGTTAGGGGAGACTCAACCTGTCCCCCTCCTGCTCCGCGGCCCCGGCCCGGGCAGGCCACACGTACCTGCGGAGAAGGCCATGAAGGCGTCATGCTTCCGGAAGCCTCCGCTCGGGTCCAGGAAATGGACCGGGTCAAATGTGGCCGGGTCTTTGAACTGGGCGGGGTCGTTGTGGACAGAGAACAGCAGCGGGAGCACGTTGGTGCCCTGGGCAGGGGAAACACACAGCTCCAGCGCACACATCCAGAGGATCTCTCCGTCCATCCAGCTATCCCTCCATCCGTCTGTCTGCCTACCTATCCATCCATCCCCTGCTTATCCATCCATCCTGATGTCCATCTAGCTTTTAATCCATCCATCTGTCTTTCTGTCTATCCACCCACCCTATCTATCTTGACCGTCCATCCATCTCTGCCCAGGCACGGCTGGATAGAGTCTGTCTTGGGTGGGTGCTTAGAGAAACTGTCCCTTGCAAATTGTCCCAGCCCTCTGGTTCTGTGATTCTACATCCACCTGACTTCTCCACCCACTCACCCGTCTATCCACACATCTGTCTGTCTGCCCATCCATTGACTCGTTCTTCTGTCTGGCACCGGTGCCTCCATCCGTCCATCTTGTCTATCCATCCATCCTCCTCAGTCTGTCTGTCCACTCATCCAACGATCCACCCTCTAGCCATCTGGATCATTTTCTGTCCTTCCACCCCGTCCATCCATCCATCTGTCTGTCCATCTTTCATCTGTCTACCCATCTACTGACGCGTCCCTCAGCCTTTCCAACCATCTATCTTTCCATCCCTCCACCTACTTGTCTATCTACCCATCCATCTATCCACCCATCCTATCTATCCATCCCAACACACGCCCCTCTCTCTGGCCACCCACTCAGCCACCCGTCCGTCCATCCATCCAACCCATTTGCCAGTCTAGCCAGCCATGGTTCCAGCCGTCTGTCCCTCTCCGAACACCCTTTGGAAGCTGACAAGGGGGAGATTCCAGCCCAGGGGGGAGAGACATGTTTTCTTGCTCGAACGCGGGGAGGAGGGAAACCCCGTTACCTCTGGAAGCAGGAAACCCCTAAAGTGGGTGTCCCGGGTCACCACGTGCGGGAGCCCCATGGGGATCACGTCGCCGAAGCGCTGCACCTCGTGGATCACGGCGTCGGTGTAGGGCATGAGGCTCCGGTCCTCTACCGAAGGGCTGCGGTGCCGCCCGATCACCTGGTCGATCTCAGCGTGGACTTTGGCTGGGGGGAAACAAGCGGGATGGGAAGCGGTTTCTGGGGGGGGCAGGGCAGCCTGACATCTCGGCTGGTCACGCAGGCAGCAGGGACACGCTCGGTCTGGAGCTGGTGACCTCTGAGACCTGGCTGGTGAGTTCTACACCTGCCCTTTTAAAATATTGACAGTGGCTTGGATCCCGATCTCAGCTCCCCCCGCCCCGCGGCTCACCCTGGATCTCCGGGTACTTCATGAGGAGCAGGAAGCCGTAGCGCAGGGTGGTGCTGACGGTCTCCGTGCCCGCGAAGAACAGATTGTGCGTGGTCATCACCAGGGTCTCCGTGTGGAAGTAGCTCAGCGGGTCCTGGTTTTCCTGCAGGGGAATTGCCCAGAATTCGAACCCGCAGCACTCGGGTATCTCCCACCATCTCCCCCTAGAGGCGGCTCCACGGACGCAGTTTCTGGATCTACTGCTGCTGCCGGGCGAGGGGGCTAATCCTTTAGCTCAAGGAGCCAAGCCGGACGCTGTTAGCCCCACATCTCCCCGGTTCAAAGCCCACGGCTGGTGACAGCCTCTCGGAACAGCCAGGGGCCCCGTAATGCTGGACTTTCAGGACCTCTGCTATATTCAGCAGAGGCAGCATGCACTTCTCGTTAGCACGGGGGCTGGGGGAAAGGACTGGGGTCTAGTGGTTAGAGCACAGAGCTGGCCTTCGGGACTCCTGGGTTCTATCTCCAGCCCTGGAAGGGGAATGGGGTCGAGTCGTGGAGGGGGACAGAGTCAGGACTCCTGGGTTCTATTCCTGACCTGCTGAGTGACCTTGGGCAAGTCACTTCCCCGTCTCTCCCATGCCTCAGTTTCCCCCACTCTAAACTGTCCTGCCTCCCAGGGTGGTGCGTCACGCGAACTAAGCCGTGAATGTTTGCAAAGAGCTCCCGAGCACGCCTCAAACCGCGATTCCCTGGCAATGCTGCCCGCATCGAGGGCAGGGCTGTGAGAACGTGATTCACCGGAGCTTGGGTTACAGCTCGGCATCCCACAACAGATTAAGAGGCCCCGGAGGTTATCTCCAAGCAGCAACAAAGAAAGAAACCAGTACGGCTGGTGATGGAGCAGGGAGGGTCTCCAGAAAGACTCCCCTCCCTACAAGTGCGGGGAGCGATTCGGGGCTAGTCACGGACCACTGGTCTGTGTGGCACGCGGCTCTGTGGGGCCGGGCCATGAACCCGTCTGTTCTAACATCAACCCCAAACAAAGCCAATCTGCTCCTGTGGGCCCAGTGCCAGCCAAGGTCAGCGGCAGGGGCCAGGTTTTGGGCGAGAGTGTGGGGTTCCATGCGGAGCGCATAAAGCACAGGACCAATGTGGTTGCAAGCTGAATCCGAATCCTGTTTATTGCAAGCTTTCTTTTATAGTTTTTCTCAACATTGCATAACACAATTAGGCTATAATCACACATCTACGGATTGGACAAGAAGGAGAATCATGTGTTTATCACATGTATAGCCCCACACCGATTGGTTCAACCGCTTCTTACATAAGGCCATGATTTATTACCTTGTTTACCTCATCTTATATAATCCTAGACCACCAGGGGGCCTTACATAAGGCCATGATTTGTTTACCTGGCAAGTGTCCCATCGTGACCCTTACCTCCTCATGGGACTTTTTATTAGGTTGGTGTAGGGATGATACATCCCCACACGAGAGTCTTGGGGCTTTTTAAAGCCACTTTAAAGGGGAAGGAATTGGTCATGTGGGCTGGAGCCGGGAAGGCTGAGTCGGGACAGGATGCACCCGGCCCGTAGCAAAAAGGTTTAAGCCAACCCCAAACAATACCTGTATTACAGGAGCACCAAGAAACCCCAGCCATGGGCTTGCCCCGCACTGCGCCAGGTGCTGCTCATTGTTATAGCTATTAGGTGCATTATGGTAGCACCACCCCAGCCCCGGGTCAGGCGCTGTACAGACCATGAACCCCTGTGGCACCCAGAATCCCCTCCTCCAACCAAAATCAGGGGCCCTCCTTGTGCCAGGTGTTGCCAAGACAAGGGACAGTCCATGCCCCAAAGAGCTCACAGTGTCCAGGCAAAGGAAGGCCCATTATCCCCTTTTCACAGATGGGGAAACTGAGGCATCACCCAGTAGCCAAGCCAGGAACAGAACCCAGGTCTCCAGCCACTAGGACACACAGTCTTTCTTATTGAAGCAGACACAGTTTTAAAGGATCAGAGGGGTAGCCGTGTTAGTCTAGATCTGTAAAAAGCAACAGAGAGTCCTGTGGCACTTTCTAGACTAACAGACGTATTGGAGCATGAGCTTTCGTGGGTGAATATCCACTTCGTCAGATGCATGTCCGTTTTAAAGGAGTCAGTGGGCCCACCACCCCTCCCCGCCCTGCCCCACCCTGCCCTGCGCCCACCCCACCCCCACAGCCCTTTCACCTGCTCCATCTTGAGGAGGAAGCAGTCGATGAAGTCACGGGGGCAGTTGGGGTCAAAGGATTCCTGGTGCATCTTCACCCGCTCCAGCACAAAGAGCTGCAGCTGCTCGAAGTTCTCGAAGATCCTGTTGTGAGGCCCCGGCAGACAGGACATGAGGCCGGGGAAGATGTTGTACATCTGGGGAAAGGGACACGAGTCACCCATGGCAGCGCGTGAACTGGGTGCACGTGTTACCGTGACGCACGGGGCAGCAATGCACATGCATTACCGTCGGGAGCTCTATGTGTGCATTACTGTGGTGAGCTCTGCACGTGCAATACCATAACGAACAGGGCAGCAGAGCACGTGCATTACTGTGGTGAGCTGAGCTCTGTGCACATTAGCATAATGCACGGAGTAGCAGTGTGCATGCATTACCATGGTGAACTGTGTGTGCAATACCATCGTGAACGGAGCAGCAGTGCACATGCATTACCGTAACGAACAGGGCAGCAGTGCGTGTGCACTACCGTAGTGAACTCCATAGGTGCATTACTGTAATGAACAGGGAGGCAGTGCAGCGTATGCACGTTACCCTAACGACCAACGCAGTGTGGGCGTGTGGCTCAGTTCGTTACCGCGTGCGCAGGCCAGGCCACCATAACAAATTGTGCCCACGCCCGGCACGTTACCGTGATGCGCCGTGCAGGGTGCGAGCGTGTTACTGACACAAACTGTGCACGGGCGTGCGTCCGTTGCCATAACGACCCCTGCGCACATGCTCCAGGGGGGCCGTGCATCTCTCCTCCTGTCGGACGGAGGCATTGGTCGAGCGAAGAGACGGCTGGGCGGGGAACCAGGGGATGGTGACCACTTGCTCTCCATGTCCGCCCAGGGGGACACTCGGGAGGGGGACACGTGGGGGACCCCACCCACAGATGCAAGGCGGCCCCCCCAGACACAGCCCCCCCCACCCCCAGCAGCACCCACCTGCCCCCACGGGGAGCTGAGCAGCTGGAAGTTCCGGTTGATGAGGCCGACCAAGGTGAGGAAGCTCCCGTCCTGGTAGTCGAAGCGGTCGCCGAAGACGATGGAGCAGATGACGTTGGAGACGGCCTGGCTGATGAGGAAGGTGGGGTCGAAGGGCGCGGCTGGCGAGGGGAGGGAACCGGCTGTGAGCGGCGGGAACGGGCGCACGCGGGGGGCCCCGAGCTAAGCAGAGTCTGGCTCCGTCATTGCTGGACTGGGAAACTGGGGGGCCTTAGGAGAGGGGGGAGGGGTTCCCCTTGCTGTCAGTGCAGCCCTAGGGGGCGCTCTCTTCGCTCAATGCTGACCCCAAATCCCCAGCCTGGCACTAGGGGGCGCTGTGGGGCAGGGGCAGGCAGCACTCTCCCCTGGCAGTTGGTGCTGGCCCCAGGGCGGCGCTAGGGGGTGCTGTGGGGCA